AGTATATAAGCTAAAATAAATGCTTAGTCAAAAAGAAGCTTAAAAAGAAATTCTACTCGTAAATTATAATTTACGAGTAAATTGATATAAAATCAATAAAATTATAAAAAAACACTTTAATTTAATATTAAGCAAGACTTATTAAATTTAAAAATATCAAAAATATTTATTATTAAACTCGATAAATCGGAAAATTTTATATTTATTACCGATAACGATAAAGACCTTTTAAAAAATTATATAATAAAAGTTAATATAATATATAAAAGAAAAGCGAAGAAAGTCAAACCGATAGATTTAAAAATATCGGATAAAAAGATACTTAAAAAGATCGACGATTAATTTAAATCAAATAAAAAAGCGAGACTTTTTAAGCTTAAAAAACTTTTTTCGAAATACTTTATTGATAAGTTTTTAAACTTAAAAATTAAATCGAAATTCATAAAAAAGCGATTTGAAGCATTTACGATTAGCTTTTAAGTTATTTCGGAAAAGCAAGAATTGCATTATTAATACTTTTTAAATCGAAAAAAAAGCGATAGTTTAAAACTTAATTTACTTTAATTAAGTCCGGAAAGAAGTCATACTATTATAAAAGATTAAAACGATGCTTTACGAAGCTTAGCAAATGAAAACGTTTACGGTACGGAAAGCTTTATAAAAAATAATAATTATTATATTAAAAGAACGATTAAAGCAAAAAGTTTTCGAGTTATATTAAAGCTTTTCTTAAAACAAATAGTTTATTATAATAAAAAAAAAGAAAAGAAAATACAAGCTAATTATTATTATAATTAAAATAAACCGTATTACGGTTCGAAACGTTAATATTGCTTCGAACGTAAACTAATTCTCTAACGAATTTCTTAATCTTACGATAATTATACTTTTAAACTTCTTTTTTAAATACGATTAATTCTTTTTCGACGTTAAGTTTAAAGATATAATAATTATTTAAATACTTATCGGATTGCTTCGAATGATTCGAATACTTATAAAAACTATTAATTCGATCGCTTAATTCATTAAAGTTATTTATAAAATCTTTATAAATCATATTCTTAACGTTTATTTACTTTATATAAACGACGTAAAAGTTAAAAGATCTAGATCTTTTTAAAATTACGAAAAAGTCTTGCTCGAAATATATTGATTCGTTTTAAATTATATTTTAAATATCGATAAAGTATTCGTAAAGTTTTAAAAAGCTAAAACGATCGTCGAAACGAAGTCTTAATATTTTATGCTCGGCTTTAATATCGTTAAATTCGTTATAAATTATAACGACTTTAAGCGATTATTTAAAAGAACTTACGAAAGCGCGAAAGTTTATATAAAAGCTTAAAAGAATCTTAAAGTAATAATTTAAAATCAATAACTATCGAATGTAAAAGTCTAAAGTAGCTAAAGTTTATATATAAAAAAGTAAAAGCGTTAAAGACTCGTAAATTATAATTTATAAATTAAAAGCAAAGAATAAAAAAATACGAAAAATACAAAAGAAAAAAAGAAAAAAGTAGCTTAACGCATATAAAATGCGTTTAAAAGACTTAGCGTATCGTTATACTATTTTCTCGTTCGAAAAAAGCTCGTCTTCGAGCGTTTATTTATTGCTTTATTATTGCTTAAGTAATCGTAATTATTAATATCGTTTAAATAAGCTTTAATTTATTCGAAAAGCTTCGCGAGAAAGCCGAAAAGCTTTTTATGCTTTAAGTAAAAATTACGTACTTTAAAAAAAGCGTATATAAAGTCGGAAGCGAAGTATTAAATAAAGTTAATATCGCGGCCGAATTAAAAAGCGCGGTTTTTAAAATGCTTTTTAATTTAACGTACGATTAAGATGTTTTTTATTTCGTACTTAAGTTCTCCGGTGATATTAATTAAATTAAGTTCAAAAATGATTTGCTTAAAAGTAAAGTTATTAAAAGCTTTTCGTAGCCGTTTAAAGTAAAAGACCGAATAAACTTCTATTAAATCGAAAAGCTTAAGTTTAAAATTATTAAAAACGTTATTAATAACTTCGAACGATCCGTTTGTAAAATTATCGAGCTTTTTTAATAATCGGAAAGTAAAGAACGAGCGCATATCTAATTAAACTTTATTATTAACGTTAAAATCAATTAAGCACTTCGATTTATTAACTTGTTTTGCTATACGGTCTTAAGCGCGTTAAAAGTGCTTTTTAACGAGGTTTTAAGTTTTTAGATAACGGTTGACGTAAGCGCAAGCTTCGTTTTAATTAAGCTTGTGAAAAAAGGTTTAATCGTTAAGTCGTTTTAAGCTTTAATTTTAAGTGGTCCGAAAAGCGTAGCCGTATATCATTTTAAAAAAGAAGAAGCCGCCGAAAGAGTTATGAAAAAGCGTTAATTAAGAGAGGTTTATAATGAGAAAGAACTCGCTTTAATCGTCTTAATAATAGCTTACGAAAAGACGGAAACGCTTTTATAAATACTAGTTATAGATTACGATCTGATCGTCGATCTTAAAGTATACGGCAATATTAGAAGTTAATTTAATATCGAAGATCTTATTATATTCTTTTTAAAACTCGAACTAGTATCAAAATCTTTTATTAAAAGTTAATATTAAAAGAGCTTTAAAATACTTATAAATATAATAGATATAAAGCTTAGCGAAGCTTTTAACGTCGATAAACTTATAATAAGAGATCGAGATTGCTTGCTTAAAAAAGCGGTCGATTACTACAAAAACGTTATTATAACCGTGCTTGTCTTTATTGAAGCTATAAAAATCTATAATAACGTACTTTTAAAAGCGTAAAAAGATCGAGAAAGATTAAAGCAAATTAAGTTTTTTTTCGTAAAGCATTAAAGCTCGTTTGCAAGCGTAGTAATTGCGACAATATTAGTTAACGAATCTAGTTATACCGTGTTAATAGTATTATGTTATAAAGAGCTTATAAGTTTTGCGAAAGCTAAAGTATACCGTAAATACTTAATCGTAGACTTTTCGAACGAGTAATAAGCGCAAGTTTTAAACGTCAAAAACTAATAAGCGGCCGTTATAAAGCAATAGGTCGCTTTTTATAATAAGTTTAATTCGTAAACCGTAGTTTACGAATATAGACTTAACTTTAAAAGCTTAAATTCGAAGTACTATGAAATTAAAAGCGATTCGATTAGCTTTTAAGATTTAATTAATAATTCGAAATATCGATAAAAGCTTTACGATTTCTTTAATAGTAACGGCAGTCTTTGAAAGCGTAAGTTAGCGTAGCTTAAAAGCTTTTCGATTAAAAATCGTAAGTTAACGTTGTTCGCGAAAAGCAGCGTTTATAAGCGTTAAGTACGCTTAAAGCTGTTTTAAAATAAAAGTTCTTCGATGCGACGTATTAGCGCGTTAGTTAAAAAGTTGTTTTTACTTAATTTATACGTAATAATAAAGTTGTAATCAAAGAAAAGCTTTATTTAACGTGCTTAACGAACGTTAAAAGTCTTAAAGGTTATAAAGTATTCTAAAGCTTTATAATCGGTAATTACTTAAACTTAATAAAGAAAGCCGGCGAGTTCGGCGCGGAAATTATTAAAAGAGCGTATAATAGCTAGCATTTCTTTATTATAAACGACGTAATTAAACTTAACGAGAGTTATGATTTTAAAGTAATAAACGATTAATAGTTAATCGGAACTATGCTTTTAAGAAAAGATTAAAACGATTACGCCGTCGAAAGCGTTAATCTTTAATATATAAAAAAAGTTTTAGTCGTAATGCTATAAGATTAGCGTAATAATTAAAGCGAGCTTTGAAAGGTCGAAGCTTTTTTAGTATTAAGAATTAAATAAAATTAAAACGTTAGCTTTAGTTAAGTATATTAAAAGCTTTACGATTACGCCGTAATCTCGAATAAATCGGGGATAAAAGTTATAAAATCTAAAAAAAGCTTTAAACGCTTTCAACGGTCGTGAAAAGCGCTTAATACTTTATTATCGAAGTCTTATCTGGACCTACTTTTAAGCTTTCGATAAAAATAATAAAACTTAAGTATTTTATCTTAATAATGTTAAATTCGTACTTTTTGATATTAGCTTAAAAGCTAGCGTCGTCGAGTCGTTAAAAAAACTTAGCGAACGTAATAAGCGTGCTTTAAAAAGTCGAAAGAATAAATTAAAATATCGTTTAAGTATATTATATAAAAGATATTTAAAAAGTCGAAAAAGAAATCATTTATATAGCGTTAATATGTGAAATTTGAATAAGGAATTAGGGTGAGAAAAAGACGAGTCCAAATTGCTTTGCTTGCTTGCTTGCTTGAAGTAAATACAGGAGACCTTTCAAGGTCTTATATAGACTATTAGGTAGTTCTAGAGCCTTCTATATGACTTATAGAATACGTAATAGTATTACAAATCAAAATCAGGTAGAATGTTCCTGAAGGTTCTAATAAGTCACCTGACTTCGCTTAGAAAGTTCTAGAAGTGCTGATTACAAATCAACACCTTAGAGTATTCTTGAAGTGCTGATTACAAATCAATACCTTAGAGTATTCTAGAAGTGTTGATTACAAATCAACACCTTAGAATATTCTAGGCAAAGTAATAATTATAAATCAACAGTACTAAGAAGAAGGAAGAAAAGAACTTATAGGCGAAAGAAGTTTATTAACCTTTACGTTATTATTAAAGCTTAAAAAAAAGCAATAGCGGCGATTATAAAATCGAGAATCGAGGTTTAAATTAAAAACTTGTTCGAACTCAGTTCTCGCTTCGACAAGCTATTAAGCTATTATATTTTAATAGTTCTTGATGCTAAAGAAAACGTAAAAGTTCTTTAAGATAAGTATTCTAGTAAACGCTTTAATTATTAAATGTTTAGGTCGGAACGAAAAAAATAAGCTAGACTTTTTAACGACGCGAATTCGCAAACAACTTATCGCTCGCAATTGCTTTAAAATAGCGATAAAAACTTTAAAAGTTTTTATTAATATCGACGGTATAATTAAAAGTAAATCCTTTTTCGATAACGGATTTAAAGTCAATATGATAAGCAAAGAAGTAGTTAAGATAGCTAAATTATTTATTATAACGGATCGAGCTTTAGTTTATACTATTGTGTTTAAAGATTTTTATAATTTCGATAAGTAAATAAACGACGTTAAAGTTATTATTAACGGGATTATTAATTGCGTCGATTTCTTTATTATTAATAATAGCAATTACGAAATCATTTTCAAAATGCTTTTTTTTTAAATTTTAAATTTTTTTTTATTTCGATAACGGTACGATAAAAGCTTCTTTTTAAAACTACGATCGATTTACTTAAAGACAAATTACTATCGCAAAAGATAAGTCGGATTTGGTCGAAAACTCGAGAAACTAATAGTTAATATACAAATTAAAATAAATGCTAAGCTAAAAAGAAGTTTAAAAAGGAATTCCGCTCGTGAACTATAGTTTACGAATAGATCGGTATAAAAACAATAAAATTATAAAAAAACAATTCAACTTAATATTAAGCAAGACTTATTAAATTTAAAAATATTAAAAATATTTTTAATTAAATTCGATAAATCAGAAAATTTTATATTTATTATCGATAATAATAAAGACTTTTTAAAAAAAAATATAATAAAAGTTAATATAATATATAAAAAGAAAACAAAGAAAGTTAAACCGATAGATTTAAGAGTTTCGGATAAAAAGATATTTAAAAGAATCGACGATTAATTTAAGCAAGATAAAAAAGCGAGACTTCTTAAGCTTAAAAGATCTTTTTCGAAATACTTTATTAATAAGTTTTTAAACTTAAAAGTTAGTTCAAGATTAATAAGAAAGCGATTCGAAGCATTTACGATTAGCTTTTAAATTACTTTAAAAAAAAAGAGTTGCTTTATTAATGCTTTTTGAATCGAAAAGAAGCGATAGCTTAAGATTTTATTTATTTTAATTAAGTTCGAAAAGAAGTTATACTATTTTAAAAAATTAAGACGATGCTTTACGAAGCTTAATAAAAGAAAACGTTCATAATATCGAAAGCTTTGCAAAAAATAATTATTATTATATTAAAAAAACGATTAAAGCAAAAGGTTTTCGAATTATATTAAAGCTTTTACTAGAATAAATAGTTTATTATAGCAAAAAAAGAAAAAAGAAAATACAAGCTAATTATTACTATAATTAAAATAAATCGTATTACGGTTAAAAACGCTAATATTATTTTAAACGTAAACTAGTTCTTAAACGAATTTGCTAGTCTTACGATAATTATATTATTAAACTTCTTTTTTAAATACAATTGATTTTTTTTTGACGTTAAATTTAAAAATATAATAATTATTCAAACGCTTACTAGATTGCTTTAAATAACTCGGATACTTATAAAAGTTATTAATTCGATCGCTTAATTCGTTAAAATCATTTATAAGATCTTTATAAACTGTATTCTTAACGTCTGCTTGCTTTATATAAATAATATAAAAGTTAAAAGATCTCGATCTTATTATAATTACGAAAAAGTTTTGCTCGAGATACGACGATTCGTTTTAAAATATATTTAAAACATCGATAAAGTGCTCGTAAAGTTTAAAAGAGTTAAGACGATCGTCGAAACGAAGTCTTAATATTACATACTCGGCTTTAATATCGTTAAATTCGTTATAAATAACGAAAAACGCTACTTTTAAATCGCGAAGATTAAAAAAATATCAAAATGAATTAAATGCGAAAATGTCTTCGAAGCTCGAGCTTTTATTAAAATCGTAATCTATTATCGAATTTAAATTAAAAACTTCTTTACGATTGTTGCTTTAATTTACGCGACGATAAGAAAAAGAATCGAATTCGAATAGTTAAAACTTTAATAAAAAGCGATAAAGCTGCTTAAAAAAGCTTTACTTTTTGCTTTTGCTTTTATTAAGATCGATTATAAAAAAAAAAGAAAATCTATTTAATAATAAACGCTAATCTTAAAAGATAAAAAGTAATATTATAATAAAAAGACTTTGATAAAAAGCGATATCTTATTAAATTCGAAAGTAATCTTTAAAACTTTATTAAAAGCAAATACGACGCGATTAAAAGAAAATGCTATAATACTTTAAAAGCTATAAAAAAAATAAAAAGCGAGCTATACGAAGTTCATTTCGTCTAAAAAACCGACGCTAAATTATTCATTAATCAACTTAACGGATTAGCGAGCGACTTGCTTAAAGCTTTCGTTACGAATCAGATTGCGTAAATAAGATTAATAGACTTCGAAATCAAGTATATCTTTAAGATTAAAAACATAATAGCGAACTGTCTTTTTAAAAGAAAAAAAAAGCATTTTTTAAATATTAAAAAAAAAAAATTTTAATAATTAAGTTATTAACGAGCTAAGCATTGTTTTAATATTCTCGATTAAATAATTCGTAAATTATAATTTACGAATTAAAAAAAAAGTTTTAAAACACGATTACTTGCTCGAATCTAAGCTTATTGCTTAATTCTTTATTACTTTTAAACGCTTTCTTCCGATTAAGACTTACGATTTTTAAAAGTTTAAAAACAAAGCATTTAATTATTTAATTAATAATAATTACTTTTATAAACGAGTAAATAATTCTTATTCGATCAAGCTAGTTATCGACGGAACTTAAAGACGCTATATTACTATTTCCGACGCTTATCGAAAATCCGAGCATAAAAGAGCCGAATCAACTTACTATTGTATATTAAAACTTTTCTATTAAAATAGATATTACGAAAACTGCAAAGCTTTCGTTTAAAGCTATAAGCTTTATTAAAAACCTAAAGCTAAACGAATAAAAAACCTTTTATATTCGACTTAGCTTACTTAAATATAATTAAAAGTCAGCTTAAACGTATTACGAGTCTTTACTATCGATAAAAAGATGACTTGTTTCGTATTAATTAAAAAATATCTATTTAGATAATTAAAAGAACGATTACTTTGATTAGCTAACGTTAAATCCATCGTTAAGTTCTTTTAAAAAGATATCGTTTGCCGCTACGGAATATTTAAAGCTGATTATTAACAAAAGACTCGAAAACAAAGCAATTATTAAAGCTTTCGCTATTAAGTACGAGAATTCAATAAAATGCTTTTTGCAATCCGGATATCGATATACGTACTTATTAAAGTTATTTTTTTCTATTTAAACTACGAACGAAAAGCTGAGCTACTTTTAGAATTACGATAGCTAGTTTAAAAGCTATTGCTATAGCAAAAGGTTCGATCTCGCGCTAACTTACTTGTTATAAGGTTTAAGCAATTAAAACTTCGAAACGAAGATATCGAAGAGATCATTTTAAAGAAAAAGCGTTATCGATTTGCTATTAAAACTATTTAAAAACGAGTTAAAATCTTAAAATCGAAATTTATTAAAGAAAAAGACTTAGTATTGCTTTACGACGTTAAACGAAGCATCGATATGTCCGCAGATATTAAGCTAGATTATAGATAGCTAAGACTTTATATCGTTTTTAAAGCTTACGATAAAAGCTATTATAAACCTTAAAAAACCGATAAGATTAAATTTAAAAGTACTTTTGCAGCTAACCGCTTTTTAACGATTCTACTACCGCGATTAAACTTTTTTTCTTTTTAAAAACGACGACGACGAAGAAAAAAAAAGAGATTCGGATTCTTTAAACAACTTAAACTTTAATGAATACGAGCTTTCCGACGATAGCAAAAGTAAATTACTTAACTTAAAAGTGATCTTTGAACTTATATTGATCAACTTTTAAATTATTCTTTTAACATTCTTAAAAGAACAAAAATTAGCTTAGAAAACTATTTCTTAGTCTATTCTTTTACTATTGTTTTCTTTAGTTTTTTATCTTCTTTTTGTTTTACACTTATTTTATAAAAGAACGTGCTTTTAATAATCACTCTTTTTATTTTAATAAAGAAAAGTATTTTTTACTTTTATTCTTTTACTTTTAGACTTGCTTTTTATTATAATCTTTATTCTTTCTTTATTCTTTTCACTTTATTAGCTATTTATTTGTCTTATACAAATTGTTCTTATTGTTCGATTGTTTTTTACTTGTTTTAAGCTTATATAGCTATTTATTATTTTCTAATCGAAACTGTTCTTTTGTTTTAAGCGTGCTTAATTACGTGTATTCGAAAGTAAACTGCTATTAAAAAAAGTAAGTCCTTTTTACAAATATACTTATATAAGAAAGCTCTTTTCATTTTTTTCTTAATATTTTCTTTCTTTATACAATAATAACTTTAATAATATTATTATTACTTTCTTTATTCTTTACAACTATATAATATTATTTTAATACTAACGATCTTAATTATTACTTAATTAATTATTATTATTATTAGCTTTATTCCGCTATCTTATATTTAAGTCGTAGACCGTAATTCACGAGTCAAATATGCTTTTTAAGTTAGCCGCCGTTAAAAGACAAGCTTTTATCCGAGATGCACTTTTTAACTTATTAATAAGCGAAAAGCAAGCTGCTTTAGTTCGATAATCGAGCTTCGAGCTAAAGTTCGAAAGACGAGTTATTAAGACTTTCGATAAGTTCTTTTAAACTTATCGTTAAATAAGTAACTTTAATCAACTAGCTATACTTAAAATAACAACCTTCGACTTTAATAATAGATTAAATAAAGAAGACGACTTGCTTTTGCGATACAATTAATTCTTGCGAGCCGAATGCGCGAGAAAGAATATAAACGCCGAAGACTTTTTTTCGATTTACAACCAGTTTATTATTAGAGTCACCGCTATTTACTTTCTTCGCAACACAAATATCGAAAAATACAAACGAATTAAAAAAGTTTTCGACAGCGCTAAAAGATAATTGTTATACGACGATTACCTTAAGGTTATATATACTTTAGTTTGCAGCGCTCGTTAATTAAACTTTATTTTAAAGACTTATATTTTTAACGCTTACGCTATTTAAGTTATTAACTATTATATCGTTGCTTGCGTCGCCTTTTAAAAGATTATAATTAATATAGCTCGAAGACGCAAGTTTATTAAGCTTAATACTACGGTAATCAACTTCATTTGCTAGATTGTAAAAAACAAGATTAATATTAAGTAAAAAAATAAGATTATTATTCCGGACGAAAGACTTTTAAAAAAGCTAAAACTAAAAGTCTTATTATATAGCTTATTGATTTTAGCTTTCGATAATATTAAAAGCGAATACGAAAAGCTTAAAAAACGTAAAAAGTTTACTAACGAAAATTAAATTTAGAATTTCGTTTTACAAAAAGAGCTCGAATTAAAGAATCTATTCGTAAACTATAGTTTATAAGTGCTAGATGACTTAGTAACTAAAGCGGGATTAAGTTAACTTTTTGCTTTAAAGACTTTTTTGCTTAAATTATTAATTGCGCGCTTTTTATTATTATTAGCTTTGTTTTAAAAATCGATATCAATTTTTATTAATAAGCTTTCGAACGCTAGCTTAATTGCTTCGATTATATTTACTTTATGTATGTCTATCGACGTAAGCTCTTTTTTAACTTTTAAGCTTGAAGTACAACGCAACCTTTTCGAAATTTAATCGTTATTAACTTTAATTATTAAAAGAAGAAACAGCTTCGAGTACGAATTAACTAAAGCCGTATTAAACCGCTGCTTCGGATTCGTCGAAATTAAAAACTTTATAAGTATAAACGTAGCTTTTATCAACTTTTGCTAAGACTTTTATTAATCGGCTTTTGATCGCTTAAACTTAAACGAAAATATTAATAACGCTTTTTATATTACCGTAGAATTAATTAAAAAAGCTATTAGTTAAGTTCGTAAGCTTTTAAACGACGAGTTTTTTAATAACACGATCTTACGACTTTTCGACCGCCGTAATTAAGTGAAAGTAAATAAAAAAAAAGCAAAGTAATAAATTAGTTTTTATTATTCGAGATTTTTAATTTAAGCTTTAACGACGACGATTACAATTGCATAAAGTTTTCGTAAAAAGTAAAGAACGTATTAAAGTTCGAAAATAAGTTTAAAAAACTTATTAACTTAAACGTTTAAATAAAGCTTTGCTTTAATTGTAAAGTCTTACCGGACGCCGTCGATTAATTAAATAAAGTCTTTTGCGATACTTATACTTTCGAATACGTTAAATACTTTAAGCTAATTACGAAAAGCTTAATAATATTAATAATTCGTTTTAATTTGTATCGATTTATCGAAGCTTATTAAACCAACGCTTTGAATAACTTTATACTTTACTCGAGTAATTAGTCGATGTTCGTTATTAAAACTAAAAGCAATACTTTAGTTAAAAGAATGTCTAGCTTAAGCTTTTTTAAGTTTAAAGCTAAGCTAATGTCTTTTGACAAGCTGAACTAAAGCATTAGCTTAATAAGCACCGCTTAAAAGAACAGCTTTTTTAATATTATAGATGCGAGTAATTATACGAAAGTTTAGCTTATATCAAAAGCTTCTTTTTTAAACGATAAACACCGCAATTAAACCTTTTTTATTATTATAAACAAAAAGATTTAAATATACTTTTATTACTTTCGGACTAGTAATTTGAAAAGAACTTCGACTAATACATTCTTTAATATAATATATTCTTTGACTTAGCAAGTCTTTCGAAGCTATTATAAGCTATACTTTGCCGCTTTACTTAATTACCGAGACGAAAATTATAAGCTTATCGCTTATTCGAAACTTTATCAGCTTTTTAAATATAATAATAGTGCTCGAGTGATTGCGATTAAGCACGACGCTAATACTAAACGACTTATAAATTGTAATTTACGAATAAAAGACAAAGTTTTAAACTATTATTTAATACTTTATAACGTAAAAAGCTAGATCGAAAGCTTAGCAGTTTAGATTATAAGCTATACTTATACTACTACTTTTAAAAAGATCGTTAAATAAAAAGCTTTTAAACTTAAGTCGAAAACTTTAAATGCTTTTAAGAATATTGCGCTACGCTAGCTTTTCGTTATAATCGGTGATCTTGCTATTTTTATGTTTATTGTTACGAAACAAAGTGTTTTTTTATATATTAACGCTTTTTGAAATTCGCTTTATAAATAAGCAATCTTTTTTAATAATTATATCGCTTTATTAAACGATAGCACTTTAAAAAATAAAGTCAGCTTTATAAAGCACGCTTGCACGATCGTTTTAAGACGTATACCGTTAACTTTTCGATAAAAAGTTATTAATAAATCAAGCTAACTTTTCGCCGTTATAACTTAGTCAAACTACGTTAATTACGTATCGGAAGTTTTAATCGGAAGAATAAATTAATACGAACTTCGAGTAGTAAAAGAATTAACCGTTATCTTTGCTATATTTTAAATTTAATTTTAAGAATATCTTATTAAGTATAAAAAAAATTGTTTTTAGCATTTAAAAAAAGATTTGCTATTGTTTTAAACGCTAGAGCTAAGACTTACGGAGCTAAGTCCTTTTTTAAAAGCAAAAGCCGTTAAGCTAACGACTTTATAAACGCCGATAAATTAAAAGATTTCAAAAAGAGTATACGATTAATTAAGTTGTTTTTTAACGACTTCGACTTAAGTATAAAGATCAATTTAAAAAGTGCGAAATCTATTCGTAAACTACGGTTTACGAGCTAAATCGACGATCTTAAAGCATTATCTTTTTAATCGGAATCTTTAAACCGCGCATTCGATAAAGTTATAAAAGCTTTAAATAACTTGCTCGAAAACGATAACGACTCGATTAATAGCTTTAAACTTTATTTTAGCTTTGCTAACTTTTCGTCGGCTAAGTTTACGCTTATCAACGATTCTACCGGCAATAAGCGCAAGAACGATACGCGCTCTTTTATTTTTAAAAATACGACTAGCACGTCGCTATTTAAAGCCGGACTTATTAAAAGAAAAAGACTTTCTTAGCTTAAAGAGAACGAAAAAGTTAAAGACGTAAGCACGGAAAAAGACTACGGAGAAGCTGTTGAAAAGTAGTTTAAACTTTTAAAGTTTAGCGATTCAATACCTTTTTTTTTTTTGTACATTAGATTTTTCTTTCTTTCTTTTATATCTTCTTTTCTTTTCTTGCTTAATAGTAAGCGAAAGCGCTTACTTATTTTATAAAAGGACGGATATGAACACTTTGCTTAATAGGGCACTTGTTATAGCTATTAAAGCTATACTAGACGGACTTATCTTTTATAAAAGGGCACATATCTTTTAGCTAAAACAATTAACGAGCTTTCTATTTATCTTTTTTTAGCACTTCTTTTGTAAGACTATAAGGTCCAGCCTTAGAGCCAGGCTTCTATACGGTATATCTTTTTAAGTGCTTTTATTGTGTTTTCGAATATATCTAGAAACTAAAAAGCGAAAGCGTGCAAACTTTCTTAAGAGAATTAAAAAAAAAGTTTTTAAGAAAAACTTTAATAAAAGGTGCGGTATGCTAAAGTATAAAAGAAAAAGAAATGAAAAATAAGATAAAAAAATACTATTACGGCGATAAGCCGTCGTATATTTTAAGAAGTACAAAAGAAAAGCAAAAAGGAAAGTAAAAATGTGAAGATCGTAAAGAAAATAAAGATTATTTAGTACTTAAAAATCCAAGTAATATCCGACAATAGCGTCCGAAGCTTTCGAAAGCGTTACTTCGATCGAATGTTGCGAAAAAGATTTAACTTAAAAAAAAAGCAATATTTCTTAAATTAATTTAACTAAAGTAATTTATTTCAAAGCAATTTTAATTATTAATTTATATCGAGATCTCGAATACCGAAAACGGATTAAAAAGTTTTATTAGCGCAGCTTCGAATCGAAAGCATAAAGCGTAAAATAAATAGGTTTTCTCGAAAGAATCGGTATTTTTAATCGTTTTTAATTTAGCTATTTTAACGGCTCGGTCTTTGCGTTTCTTTTCGATCCGCTTATCGAAAGCAGCTTTTAAATAAAAATAAGCTATTATATATTCCGATTTAAAATAGTAAGGTTTTTTATAATAATTATAAATTATGATAAACTTATCTTTTCTTACAAGTTTGCCGGGTTTTTCGTATATAAAAAATGCTTTGCTTAAAAAGTGCTATATTAATTGCTTCTCTTTACAAATAGCAGCTATAAAGTCGGCGAAAGCAATCTTAAATTTATCGCCGTTAATATAATTATTATTCGAAACCTAATTAAATTTAAAATTCTCGTACGAAAACAATAGCTAATTAAAATAGATTTTAATTATTTATAAAGCGGAAAGTTAAGTATTATTACTTAGAAACTTAAATTATCCGTTTAACCGTATAACTTCGTTATTAAAAGAAGTAATATTATCGAACTCGTTAATACTAAAAGCGAGTAATGCGGATTAAAAGCGATAAAATATCCCGACGCTTTTAAATCGAATTCGTTCTTTTAAATCTATTTATAATAATTTCTTTAGATTATGCTTTTTAATATTTCCGACGATTATAAAGCTTATTCTTTTTTCTTTAACGAAATCCGCGGCGGTTAGCTAGAGTTTGCTACTAATAAAAAAATAGCTCTGAGTTTGAAATTTATTTTACGCGTCGAATTTTTTTTTTAAAACGCAAACTTTGTGTTTTTTAAAAAACGAATCGATCGGACTTTTGTTTTTTTTAAAGATTTTTTCGTAAAAGTACTTAGGGGCGCAACCCTTAGGTGTAGCAACAGAGTGCACTCGGTTGCAACACTTTACTTACACTTTACTTACACCTTAACGTTTTAGTATAGCAACCGAGTGCACTCGGTGTATACTCGATTATAGCTTAGATAACTTTAAAAACGTTTATTCGATTATCAATCGAGTTAACACCGAGTACTCGATTTACAATCGAATGCACTCGGGTGCTATACTCTATAATTCGATTTACAACCGAGCTCATACGATTATTACATTTAATTAAATTACTATAAACTTTATTAATTATTATTATTAAAACCTTATTGACACTTTACTAATACTTTATTAATATTTACTTTATTGTTATTTTATTACTATTAATATTGCCTTGCTACTAGTATTGTCTTGCTACTAATATCGGCACTAGCGCTGCCATCAATATTGCCTTGCCACCAGTATCGCCTCCAGTATCACCACCAGTATCGCTACCAGTGACGCTACCAGTATCGCTACTAGTATCGCTACTAGCGCTGCCACCAGTATTGCCTTGCCACCAGTATCGCCACCAGTATCGCCACCAATATCGCTACCAGCGCTGCTACTAGTATTGCTTTGCCACTAGTATCGCCACCAGCATTGCTTTGCCACCAATATCGCCTCCAGC